CGCTTACTCTTTTGGGGATTTAGGGTTTTAACGCTTCGACTTGGACGAGAGAGTGAGAACAGCGACGAACCAAAGGGATCGGCAACACGAGACGACGTCGTCGAACCTGAACCCATCTAAGTCGTCGTTTCAAAGGTGGGCTTATGATGAAGCAGGCCCACTATTATTGACGCCAGAAAATACAGATTTATCCACGAACCGGCCGGTTAAGTTTAAAATTGTACCATTGATATTGGTTCAATACTTTATTGGATCTGGAATGGTGAGAATCTCACCGTGAGATGGATAGATTCCTCACTTCTTCTACCTCCCTAGGTTAGGCTCTGATTTGTAAAAGTATAATCACATTTATGGTAAGAATTATTCTGCAGTTCCACTAATCACAAGTAATGAGAAATACCAATGAAATTTTGATTGAATGTTTATAATATTCTCATCTTTGTATTTGATTGTTTCCACTTATATTTGATCGATGGTTTAGGTTATTAAACAACTCATCTTGCATCATTATGACCATTGATTAAATAGAACTCTTTTATTGTTTCTGGTGTCATCCAAATAGCCATACATTGTGTTTCCTGGTGAAGGCTTTGTTTTTAAGTGTTACAACCGTTGAAGCATTTAATACTTTGGTTAGTACAAGGATGTCTTCCAATCCATGAGAATATTGATAAGAACTTGTCTGTCAATTTATACATGGTGGAACAATTTGGATATCAGAACCTATAGCTACTGGATCTTGCCCGAATGTTATGGTGTATACAAGCTCTTTGTAGGCTTGACTGGACAGAGAAAGTTTCAGACAAATGGAGCAGCAATACATGTCTTCTCCCAACATTGTAACATATAACAAGCTACTGGTTGGGCTCTCAAAGGCAAACTGAATTGAATATAAGAAGCTTCCATGTGAGAGGATGATAATTGCAAGGATTCTCCCAAATATTGCTATACATGGAATGTATTATTGGTTCATTAATTCTTGTATTTTGTTATGACCAAACCAAACTTGTCTACTCTGTTCCAAAGGAGCTGACAGCAGACTTGGATCCATGGAGTCATGAGAATCAGAAGTCGTGAGAAGACTAGCAGCAAACTCCTGAAGATCTTGAGTGCTTTCGAAAACACCATTGGATAGTAAGCTTTCAAAACTTGTCTTGAGAACCCCATCATAGGACAATAAGGTTTCACAAGTCGTC